CGTCTGTGAGGCTCTTGTGTGGCCCACTGGCCTGTGCTGTGCTCCTCAGACCTTCACCCAGTCACAGTCCTGCGGCTGCTACAGAGCACACCCCAGCCTCTCCGGGAGACACTTTGCAGGATTATTTCAAAACAGAAAGTGAAGTTTATTATCTTACCAAAAAGTCGTCTTGGCGGATGCTTGCTCCCTCTCTTGCTTGCCCCCCTCCGGTGCTGGTTTATCCTTTTAGACTGGTCCTCTCCACTCCCATGGGCCCAGGATGACTGGCACAGTCCTCGGTGCCAGCAGAGACGAGGTACAGTCCTTGTGTTCTCTTTAGGAGGCCTCTGAGCAGATCCACAAAATTCTTGGTTAGTGTTGATTCTTAGTAAGGGGTCTGGAATTAATGAGACTGGCTTGGACTAGCTTAGATTCAGCCCTGAGGCTGGTGAGGGAGCCAACCCCCTTTAATGCCCCTGGTCAGCTGGTCCAGGGACATGAGGGGACAGGAACAAAGGTTGGTGAGGGAACTTGAGCTCAAGTTTGCAAACCTAATGGGAACTGCATAACATCTGGCTGAGGCCATCTATTAGTTGAATGAGATAAACTGCAGGGGTAGAGGAATATTGCTCTGGATTTGACCTGCTAGGTTTGGGGTTCTCAGAGGGCTCTGACCTTCTAGAATCATGTCCATCTGCTGCCTGCTTTCTGGAATAAACTTCATGCCCTTAGCTGAGGAATGGCCCAGCTAGAAAGAATGGTCCAAGCACCGTTCTCAGTGTAGCTGTCAAGACCCCAAAGGGGCCGCATTGTGGTTTCCCTTGGAGCACATAAGGGAGCTGCCCTGGGCCAGGAGTTAGGGAAAGGAGCTGCCAGGGCCAGTGCTGGAGGCTGTGGAGGGCCAGCACAAGTGGGGCTTTGATGTCGGTGGGGTTCAGTGCTTGGGGTGGCCTGTGTGGGGCAATGGAGGCCACAGACATCAAGAGGCCCTGCTTACAGATGCTGCAGGACTGCCCCAAGGCGCGGCGCGAGGTGGAGCTGCACTGGCGGGCCTCACAGTGCCCACACATCGTGCGGATCGTGGATGTCTACGAGAACCTATATGCTGGCAGGAAGTGCTTGCTGATCGTCATGGAGTGGTAAGCAGCCTCTCTGGCCACTGCTGGCCAGCCCTCCCTGTGCCCTGCGCAGGCCTCTCACCCTGAAGCTGAAAATAAAAAAGCTGATTTCTTTTGGGGGCAATGGAGAGTGGCGGTGGGATGCTGTCCCCACATCTAACTGTGTGTGCCTGTTTCAGTTTGGATGGTGGCGAACTCTTCAGCAGAATCCAGGACCGAGGAGACCAAGCATTCACGGAAAGAGGTAGAAAGGGTCTGTAGCAGGGACAGGTGGAGGGCAGGCGGGCGGCACGGTGTCTGAAAGGGGCCTTATCTCGTTAAAGAGGCTGAGGCCTGGGCTGCCTCCCACCTGCTGCCTGGGCCGCTGTGCTTGGTTGAGCCAGGGAGGCGGCTTGCTTCTTGGCTTCTGGGGTAGGTGGTGGATGGAGGCTGCATGGGGGGACTGGTGTGTGGGTTTTCAAACCTAATGCCACATCGTGTAACTTTGTCCCGCCCCCCACCCCCCGCTTCTCTTCTCCACAGAAGCATCAGAAATCATGAAGAGCATCGGCGAGGCCATCCAGTACCTGCACTCCATCAACATTGCTCATCGGGATGTCAAGGTACCAGCTGCTCGACCCCTAGCTCAGGTGCCTGAGGGCTGTGGCTGGTGGGCTGGGCGCGGAGATGCATCCTGCTGTGTGGACGCATCCTGCTGCGTGGTTCCTAGGAGCACAGGGGCAGGGTGCTGTTCACTGCCCCACAGGGCCTGCTCTCTGTGATAAACCCTAGGCCCAGTAGCGAAGACCCCTGTGGTCCCACCCAGCCCGGCACATCTCCCCGGTCAGCACCTCAGCACCACAGCCGTGTTTTCCACGTCCCAGTGGTGGTGGCTGCTCCTGGAGGCAGGGCTGGTGTGCGTAGCTGGTGGTCCTGCTTTAGGGGAATAGTTCTCACCTCAGGTGTCTGACACCACACCACACCCACCACCAAAGCACCCATAGTCCTTTTCCCGAGACCACTGGCCTCCCTCCCCCTTTTGTTCCCTCCTCCACTTTTCCTCCCCTCCAGTGGCCTCAATTCTGCAGTTATAATTCTCTTTGCAGCCTGAGAATCTCTTATACACGTCCAAAAGACCCAATGCCATCCTGAAACTCACCGATTTTGGCTTTGCCAAGGAAACCACCAGCCACAACTCTTTGACCACTCCTTGCTATACACCGTACTATGTGGGTAAGTCCAGAGGACTCCGGGAGCTGCCACCCCCTGCAGCTTTACTCAGACACTTCTTTGTCGGTCTCAGAGCCCCATCCCCGAGGGGAAGTGTGTCCTCTGGCCCTTTCTAGCCTCGGTCTGTAACCTGGCCTCAGGTAGGGCTGGCTGGAGTCGGGCGGGGTTGAGGCCCTAAGGAAACTGGGCCGCCTAGGCTTGGGGCAGGAGCTTGTGCCCACATGCGCTGAGAAGAGCCGTTGTTGCTGGCACATTCCTGATGGAGTCCGGGACCCAGATGTGGTACTGGAGCTTTGGCCGGCTGGTGCAGGGTGTAACCTGTTGAAGTATGTGGACAGCATGGGTCCAAAAAAGGCCCCGGCGGTTCAGGGACGATTTCATTTTATGATTCTAGCCTGAGGGCCCCTCTTGGAGCTGGGTCTTCTGCTCTCCTCTCTCCCCCCACCCCCAGCTGCCCTCGCATCCTAATGGGGCACAGGGCTGGGCTGGGGCACAGGGAAGCACAGTGTTCTGAGGACTACACCACCCATGTTGACCTTTGGTTTGCAGCTCCAGAAGTGCTGGGCCCGGAGAAGTATGACAAGTCCTGTGACATGTGGTCCTTGGGTGTCATCATGTATATCCTGTAAGTGTGTGGGGGGAGGTGGAGGGCCCTGTGGGGGCTGGGACTGGGCAAGCAGAGGCCTGTGCCTCTCCAGGATGAGAGGAAGAGGCAGAGGTCAGCGTTCCCTTTCTGGGTGGGGCACTCCCGGGGAATCCCCTGCGTGTTCCCTTCTCTCAGTGCTCGGTGGATTCTGATAGCTAAGTGGTGGCTCTAAGCTAGTGGGCAGGAAAATGTGTGGTTTAGATACTTGATTTGCTAGGTTCCTGTCCTTGACTTTGTATAATGTGCCTGAAATCAGTGAGCCCTGACTTCTCGACTTCTCTGTGACCTTTACAAGAAGAAGCGTGTTTCTCACTCTGTTCCTGATTCAGGGCCCCTAAATAACACTACCTTTCTCCCTCTTTCCCTGCTTCCTCTTAACTCAGGCTGTGTGGGTATCCCCCCTTCTATTCCAATCATGGCCTTGCCATCTCTCCGGGCATGAAGAGTCGCATCCGAATGGGCCAGTATGAGTTTCCCAACCCAGAGTGGTCAGAAGTATCAGAAGAAGGTAACAAGCTCACGTGTGCGCGTGTGTGGAGTGTGGGAGTCCTCTCGTGGCTGGTGTGTCCTGCCTGTGTGGCTGGAACTTCCAGGTGTGGGTAGTGTGGGGCCCATCAGTTAGGACAGCCTCATGGTCCTCAGGCTGGCCCTTGGCAGTCTACCTCCATGGATTCTCCCTTTGAATCTTGGTTCTCCCAGGAAGACGATTCCTGGGGAGGATCAGGAGGAGGGAGAGTGACCCCTGAGCTGTTTCTATCCCCCGCCCCATCCCCACAGTGAAGATGCTCATCCGGAACCTGCTGAAAACAGAGCCCACTCAGAGAATGACCATCACAGAGTTTATGAACCACCCTTGGATCATGGTAAGCCTGGCAGGCTGGCGAGACCTGGGTCCCTGGGGACTGGCCTTTGGGATGCTGCCCAGCCCCAGACTTTTACTTAGACCCCTTTCTCTCCCCACAGCAATCAATGAAGGTCCCTCAAACCCCACTGCACACCAGCCGGGTCCTGAAGGAGGACAAGGAACGGTGGGAGGATGTCAAGGTGAGGGCTCAGGTGCCCAGGTGTGAGTGGTTGGGCAGAGTTTGGCTCGAGAGAGCATGTCTCTGATACAAGAGTGGCTACTTCTTTGACCAAGTTGTGGCCAGAGGCTCCCATGTCCCATCTGCACTCAGCTGTGGCTGTTCTCTACCAGCCCCCACTCCCTGGGTCTTCAAAGGTACCCAATGGCCATGTGTTGCCATCGTCTCATTTTGCAGATGAGCAAACTGAGGCCAAGAGGAGGAGTGACCTGTTCAAGGTCATCCATTCTAGTTACTGACTGTGGCAGACTGGAGCCCAAGTCACCTGACTCCTTGCACAGTGCACTTTCTCCCACCCTGTGGGGCTGTGGCAGGGCTTTTAGGGAAGCAGTACCAGCTTGGTAGCCAGGCCTTATTGACCCGACTCGGGGCCAAATTTGCCATCAGCCTGGCCCTCTCACCCCCTGTCCCTTCTCTCTCCACTCCCACCCTATTGTGCTTTGCTTGTCCTGTCCTGACTTGTGTCTCTTGTCCCTCATGTCTCTCTCTGGGTGCCACCCCCGGCCTCCCCAGGAGGAAATGACCAGTGCCTTGGCCACAATGCGCGTTGATTACGAGCAGATCAAGATAAAAAAGATCGAAGATGCATCCAACCCTCTGCTTCTGAAGAGGCGGAAGAAAGCTCGGGCCCTGGAGTCTGCGGCCCTTGCTCACTGAGCCTGGGCCTGCCCGCCCTGCCGCAGGACAAGCAATAATGCGACATGAATCTATTTTCTAAATGAGGAGACAGAACTGTCCGCTCCCGCCTCCCCTCCTCGACTGCCTGGAGCCGGGAATCTCATCAAAGACTGAATTCTGTCTTAGGTTCTGGCTGCCCCAGAGAGGGAGAAGCTGGGAGGCCGGGAGGGCCTGGACAAGGGGGAGTGCAGTGATCTGGAACCTATGCTCATTTTGCAATTTTGTCAGTAATTTGACTTAGAATTTTTATGAAACTTACTGTTCTTTTCTCTCATGCTTCTCCCACAAGTCCTTTCCTTTTTTGGGTACTGCAGAGGGCTTGTTAAGGGGTATTTGTGGGAACTGTTAAAGGGAGCATCCCTGTGTTGTCCTGTTTGCCTTCCCTGTTTGCCCACGATAGCCCAAAGTGCTGCGGACTGAGGTGTAGGGGAGGTCAAGGCCAGCACCTCCTTTACTAGAGCCCTCAAGTGTCACCGTTGTGCCAGGTGGGTGGGAATGAGTGTGAGTGTGTGTGTGTGCGCGCGCGTTCGTGTGAGTGCACGTGCCACTTGCAGCTGTACATTTATGGGGTCAGGGGCAAACAGGCTGCAGAAGGAGGAGCCCTGCTGTCATTCAGGAAGCTTTCTCTTCCTTGGGTCGGCCTGGGTTGGACCTAGCAAGGAGCCTAGGAAGCCTTTCCAGAGCCTGAGACGGCCACCCACGCCCGCCTGTGCTAGCTGGTTCCAGCGGGCAGAGATGACGGGCACTGGTGCAGAAGTCAGGAGGACCAGACTCCACCAAGGGTCCCTCCCCATTAGTGCCAGTCCGGGTCCCTCTGAGGCACCCATCTGCCAAGTAACGCCGCTACTTCCCCTTCCTGCCATTATTAACCCACTTTCGTTTATTTTCTTAGTTTTAGCCGATTCCCAATGGGCTTCCTCTCAGCTCCTGTGGGTGGGCCTGGGTAAGTTTATAAGTGATGTCTCCCTTAGTTTGGAGGGGGCGGCAGCCAGCAGAGGCAACACCACGCACGTTATGACTCCCGCAGATTTCCACTGTGTGGCCAGGCGGGTGGGTGGGGGAGTCTCTGCACCAAAGACGTCTTGACTCTGCCCCTTCCCTCTTACTACACCCAGCCCAAGCAGCTCGGTTTCTTGTGTCAAAACCAGTGAAGAGCCTGTGGGGAGCCCTTTGCCAGGTGAATGAGGCCAGCGTAGGGGGCTTCGATGTCGTGGCCCCTTGGGGCGGGGGTGGCAATAATACTTCAGCTTCTGTTTCCCTTGGGCAGGGTAGTGGAGGGGCACCCAGGGTTTTCTGTGGGTGGGGGGCAAGGACTCTGAGTGCCTGCAGCACCTCCTGGTCTCTGATTGCTGTAAACTGTTACTGTTTTGTATGAACAAAGTTGTCTTTACTAAACAGATCTAATAGTTGAAAGGGGTTTTTTCTTTTCTTCATGTGACTCAGCCCCCCAGCCCTTGTATGATGACAGGGCAGAGTCCAGTGCCCTCGGGGAGGAAAGTAGAGGAAAGGGAAGGCTCCTGGTGAGAGGGACCAGCTCCAGGCCTGCCAGCACGTACCTGGTGTGGGGACGTGAATGCACTTGCCCTTCTGTGGAGGAGAGCAGGGGTGCCTGTGAGGGATGGGCAGCCCTGTTCTTTTGCCAGTACTGAATCAGAGCCAGGCTGCTTGTTAGAATTTGGTTCTTTGACCTGGAGACAGGTACTGGTACTCCCAACCCTGTGAGGTGGGGTGGGGGGTTCAGTGAGAAAGGGGTGGCGATCATTTGGATCAAATCCTTGGAGAGAGATGCAAGAAGGTTGGTATAGTTCCTCAAGGTTCCAGGAGGGGGCAGTAGAGTGTCAGACAGACCAAAATATTCTAGGTCAAAGCTGGAAGAGGCCTGAGAGTTCATGTGACTCTCCTCAATTTACAGGCAAAAAGACTGAGTCCCAGAGGTGGGATGTTTGAGCGCACAAAATGGATTGGTTTGTGGGAGTCCTAGATATAAATTGGTCTGTTGATCTCACTGCTCTTCCTCACAGTCAGATGAAACTATAGGGTATTTTAGATAATGTCACCTCCATTTTCTCATGTGACCCCAGAGGTCTTCAGAGAAGGCGAGCGGGATGTTCATCGTATTTTACGAGCAAGGAAACTGATGGAGAGGATGAAGTAACGTGCCAGAGGTTGCATAGCCAACTGATTTAGACTAGAATGTGGGATCCCAAGGCCTAGGGTGCCCTCTGGCCTCAGATCCAGCCTGCTGCCAGGAGGAGAGGCCTGTTTGAGCCCTCGGTCACCAGCAGAATCACCACCTAGTCTATGGGCACAGGCCCGGGGACCTCCCTGCCATCACTACTGAGGTTGGACTCCATCTTGACGCTACACTCTCTGCTCTAGAAGCCACTGCCCTTATGAACCTGCATGAGGTTTTGCATTCAAGGAAGTCCACTTATTCTCTCCACTTGCCAAGGTACAAGCAGTGATAGGACCCTCAGGAGAGGGGAACAGGGATGCAAGGAAGGGGCTGGGTACGAGGGAGGCGGGAGTTGACCGTGCTCTGCCACCTGTGGAGGTAGTGCTGGTTTCTGCTGCTGTCACAGTACAATTCATGGCACGAAGTTAGCATCTTCAGTTATGGAGGTCAGACGGTCTAATAGGGCCTTTGGGCTAAAATCTAGGTCTCAGCAGAGCTATGTGCTTTTTTGGAGAATGTAGGAGATTCTGTTGTCTCCCCTTTTCCAGCACTTAGAGGCCTCCCGCGTTGGCTCATGGCCTCTTCCTCCAGCTGCAAAGCCTCTTCATCACCCCTCTCTGACCTGAGCTGGGAAAGATTCTTTACTTTTAAGGACCCAGGTGACTAGATTGACCCTGCCCAGATAATCCAGGATAGTCTCCCCACCACAAGGTCCTTAAGGGCGGTCCTGTCTGCCAGTCCCTTTAACCATGTAAGGTAGTCACAGGGTCAGAGTTTAGGATGTGGGCATCTACAGGGTCACTGCTCTACCACAGAGACTTGTCTTACTTATGACCTCATCCTCTTGTCCCACACTTTGACATCACTGATTCCTCCCCTCATCTGTCTGGGTCTGGCCAATCTGGACCCAGCCTGGTGCTCAGGGTAGTTGGCTGTGGTGTAGGGCCAGGAGTGACCTTCTTGGCAAGCGCGGTCTCACTGTGCTGTTCCAACTCCCTCTTCCCCTCTGCCCCGGTCCTCCATGGTGACATGGCCTTGTGACTCCGTCTCCAGGGGAGACCTCACCTTTTGTTAAACTGGTTGGTGATGGGGCTTTGGTGCCTGTAGGCAGAGCTGACTTGCCTTGGTGCCTGAGCAATGGATGTCACTCCTGGACACTCTGGTGTGAGATGTGAGGAGGCCTTGCAGATGCTCGAGGCGCTGGTACTATGCTGGGTTATTCGTTTCTTCAGGCCATGAAAGCCCTCGGAGATAGACTGGTATCCAATTCACCTATGAGAAAACAGCCTCAGAGAAGTAAAATGAGTCTCCCAAGCCCTCACAACTGAGCAGAGGTGGAGCTCCTGCTTGAGTTCAGAGCCTCAGTCTCCTTGAAGAGGTGGGAGGGCCGAGCAGGGAGGCAGACTGGGTTCCCCTCCACGGAGGAGTTCCCTTTTCTCTAACTGGTGGCTTTGTGGAGAATCCAATGAGAAAATGGATTTCGGTGCTGCTCAGGGGACGGGTGGCCTTTATTAGCTTGAGAGCCCCGCTCTCCGGTGGGTCCCATGTCGGTGGGCCCAGGGAACCCCAGGTTCCTAGGCTGTGTCTACACTCCAGCTCTCAGCCAAAGGGCTGTGCTTTGGGGTGAAGAGGCAGTTGGGCTGGTAAACAATAGCAGTAAGTTTGGGGCTTTCCTTTGACAGGGCTGGGGACGGGAAATGAGGAAGACTGTGATGATGAGTGGCAGGGTGGGTAGGTCTGGCATGCCCATGTGTGAAGTTCAGTTATTCAGGGGAGGCAACAGGGCTGCTCGGGCTGGGGGAAGTGCTGTCCCACCCACTAAACAATGTAAACATACCTGCCAGGCACCCCAGCAGGCAGCCAGGGTGAGGATAAGGCCTTGGGGTGGGGGCTCTGTATTTTCAGCCCTTGGGAACACAGCTCTGCCCTGGCCCTTTCCAGAGCAGCTATTCTTTGGAAGGGACACCAGTTTCTAGCTCTGGAGGCCCTTCTGGTGATTTCATCTACCTCTCCCCTCTCTGCACTCAGACAAGGGCGAAGAAACTGCCCACATGCTAAATCTTGAAATAACCAGGCATTTAGTAAATGTCCTGTACTTTGGGAAAAGCCAAGTGTAAGACTTAGTTCCTGCCCTCAAGCTAATCAGTAAGGTAGAAAATATGCTTGCAACTGCGAACAACCTTGTTTTTCCTTTCTCTGCATCCACAGATCTGGCCACATACCTGGAATCATCCACTGGCAACTGCCCCAGACAGTGAGGGGTGTGTCACCAAACCCTCAGGGGGCACGGGGCAGCCCCTTAAGGCCCTAGAGGTTGTGAGACTGGAGTGGGGAGTGAGGTCAAAACACGTGCCCTGACTCACCTCATCCTCTGGCTGTGGCCCTTTCTGGGGTAACACTGGCCCTATTCCCCCTGGCTGGGTGAGATGAAACGTAGTGCCAGGACTTGGAGGGGGGTACACTCTGGGTAGGCAAGGACCTGGCCCCTCCCTCAACTCATGGGCCACCGGTTGAGTAGGGCCTGAACTTTGACCTCCTCGACCAGAGCTGCTCTCTGAAAAGACTTTGAGCCACTCCCTGTGCGTAAAGGGCACCTCTGGTTCTGTTCATCTTCAATGCCTGCATGTGCAGTACCCAGGGCTTGGGGCTGTGGGAGGTGGGAGGGTGAGGAGGGAAGTGGCTTGGTCTGTGGGAGTAGCCAGGCAGCATGCCACCGGAGCAGGGGTTGGGGCCCAGGGAGGGCTGCCTCCTGCAGAGCTGCGAGCTGGCCCTAGGAGAAGTTTTGATGGTGGACAGTGAGGAAACAGCATGGTGGAGATTTTCCCATCTGATTGTTGCTCTGGCTTCTGAAGGAGCAACATCCCTCCTCCTTAGAGTCCAGTTTCACCCCCGTCCTCTGGTCAGAATTGCTGCTCATCAGCTTGACCCTCGACCCTCAGGGCTTCTGCTCTTGGAAAAGGTCACTTAGCCCCTTCATGGGGCGCCCTTGGTGTTTTCATTTCTTTTCCTCTTTTCAACATCTCCAACCTGGATTCCCCTTGTCACCATGTTTGCTTCCCCCAAACCAAAATTTGGGAACATGGTCTGATAGGGATTTCCCCCCGTTTTTCAATTCATTAATATTTAAGGAAGCCTTAAAGCTATTCCTTAAACTTAGATCCTTTTCCATTGTATACTTTAAAGGTCATTATAGAAAAGGATAATGTCACATGAAATGGGAAAACAAGGAGAGCGGCCACCCAGGGCTTCCTTGCTCCTCTCCTCTGAGTGTTACTAAAAGCCTGGGACCCTGCAGGGCGTTCTCATTCCTGTCCCTCCTGGTCCGCCAGGCATCAAATGCGGATACTTCCCTGTTACAAATACAACCCTTAGTGTACATGAGCCTCCACACTTTTTATTGCTCATACACCGACATCTCAACCCTGGGTTGCCTTGGGTGTCCATCCATGCTCAGGAGGAAATAGTTGTTCTGAAGGGAAGTTACTCTCCAAGCCTCTGGCCAGGAAGTCAAGCATGTGAAGCCTGCAGGATCTCAGGTGGGGAGTTGGAGTGAGAGGCAAAAACCTGTGGGTGGTAAGTCATTTTTAGGGGCCAGGACTGCCATGCAAATACATTCATTTGCATAACTTTCTTGCTCTAAGGGCCAGTAAAGTTTCCTACCCCACCCAACACCCTTACCGGGATTTGCAAGTGAAATATTGGGACTGGCTTTCCCCCTTTGCCCGTCCCCTTCCTTCGTGAGTCCTCTGCACCTCTTGGTTTTGTTTCTGTCCCTCAGGTCCTATGTGTACAACTGCCGGTCTTAACCTCTCTGATCCAAGGTTCCCCAATATGCAAAGTATCTGCAGAGGTTATGCAAATGGTCCTCAGTCTGGGTGGTTCTGACCCAAGCCCAGTCAGCACTACCTCAGGCAATTGCTATCTGAGACCTTATGAAACGTGATCTTGACTCTTTCTCAGTCCAGGCAGCTGTGGGTCTCTAGTTCCTCAAGTGGCTAGAGCCTCTGGGGCTACAAGGCCTCAAGTTTCAGAATGAGCTGAGTTTTCCTAGTCCTTGCCCTCTGATTTGGAGACTTGTGGTTCTGAATTCACTGGAGCTTTACTTTCCAAAGAAGCCGCGATTACATCTCAAGCTGAGACGAACCTTGCTTAGCTGTGACTGGAGCCTGTGGTGGGGAGATCTGGGGTTTGCAGTAAGACCTAGAGGGGCCTATGGTTTTCTGGTACTCAGCTGGTGCCTCTTCTGCTCTGAAACCTGTTCTAGGGAAATGGCTCTCATAGTGCGGCTCTAGAGCTACCTCTCGCCCCACCCACCTGCCCACGGGCCCTAGCAGGAGGGGAAGGAAATGAGGCAGGTCTGCCTGGAAGAGGAAATCCAGTCTGTCTGCTTCTTCCAAATTCTGAAAATGACAGTTGACTCCATGGATGAATGTATAGTTTGCCCATAAAGCACAGTTAACAAAGAAGTTTTGGTAATTCAAGCATCAAAGAAATTATATATACATCCATATATATATATAATGATTATATATACATTCAGAGTGATATGTGAAAGTTCTGTTTTATACTCTCACTCAACTATGGCAACTCCCTCTCCAGAAATAATTTTTCAACAGCTTGATTTTATTTTTATTTTTTCCAGAGTTAGAAAAACTTTTATCTCCATGCATACATGCTTATAAACATAGGCAAAAATTTTCTTTGACGTTTATAACAAGTATAGATGAAGTCAGGAGGTAGATCGTTGGGTAACTTGCTTTTTAAAAAAAATGGGAAAGTGCACGGCATATAGACCATCTTGGCAGTGTTTATGTGCAGAGGTTTTTGGTGTTAAATATCTTTGCATTGTTCAATCAATTGCAAGAACTTTTCACTCCCATTAATCAACATGCAACCTGCCTTTTGAACTTAGCATGTCTTGGTGAGAGTTTTACCTGGATTCACAGACCTGTCACCTCTCTTTTCCAGCGTGGAGCAGTCCGCAGTGTGAGTGCCCTGTCCTCTACTTAACTCTCTGCTCTTGATGTTTTATTTGTTTCTGTTTTAATATTAGTGTAAATTCCTCAAACATCTCATACAGTATCTTTTACATGTGTAAGGATTTCTGTAGGGTAGATTCCTACAGGTGGAATAGCTACATCAAAGGGTAAGTACATTATAGGTTTTGGTAGCTACTGCTGAAAAAGCAGTATCAATTTATAAATGAATGCCCTTTGCATGTCGTGTTCTCAATGAGAGGTCCATGGCAGGATTTACTGTCAGCAGATTTACTGTCAACAGTACAATAGGGGATAGAATAAGTCAGCTGAGAATAAGAGGATATTTCCCCAAACTGTCAGATGCATACCTTCAGACTGGAAAAATCAGATCTGGAGGGGGCAAGGGGATTCCTTGACCTCGCCTGTGACAGCAGCTCTGCTCATTGAGTATAGTTATTTGCATGTATTTGGGTGTGTAGGTGGAATGGCTAAAAGACAAATCTGAGACAGACGTGGTCTGCCTTCTACTGGCGCTTGATCTTTACAGGCGACCTGACCTGATTCATAGACCAGGCAGTGCCGCCCCCGGGGGAACACCAAGGTGGCATGAGCAAGTGGCTGGCAGGGCTGTGAGGGAGCCCAGGGTACTGTGGGAAGGCACTGCAGAGGTGGGGAGAAAGGCACAGGGCGGAGGCCGTGGCTCTGGCTCTTGTGCCTTGGGGGACACCGGAGGAGGTGTGTGGGCTGCTGACTGCCCCCTGCAGATGCTGAGTCAGAGGCATCAGGCTTTGGGGTGGGCACCTAGTTCAGAGGCACATGGCCCAAGAGAAGGCCCTGGAATTACATTAAACTGGGCTCAAACAGGGCAGTGACCTCACTGAGTCTTGGTTGAACAACCAGTACAATGGGAATAATATTGTGGCATTCCACAATCATTTATTATGATTTAATAATATTCACATAATTAATGATTATGAGAATGCCTCTCAGACCTCCAGGGGCAGAGTGTAGCTGTCCCAGGGCTCTGAAACCTGTGCTCTGAGATCTGTCCCTGTGTCTGTGTTGAGGACGTGCTTCCTGCCCTTGCTCCCGCCAGTAACGGCAGGGTGCCAAGGCACGGCACCCCTGGGGAACCATGTTCTAGAGAAGGCTGATTTGTCTATGAATCCTCCCTTGACTGTGCTTGGTCTAGGACGTTGGGTTACCTCCTCCATCTCCCTCCTCAGTGGGGTGTGGTACGGTTGGGTGGCTCTCCCGCCTGGCCTGGCCCAGCTCCCTCTCTGGATTTTCTCTTATAAACATGTTTCCCCTGGTAAAACCCATCCATATTTAATCCCATTTTATCATCTGCTCTCAGAGGACCTGGACCAGCACTGGGGTCTCAGCTCCCTCATGGGGCTCTTGTGAGAACAAGTGAACACTCTTGCAGAAGCTTGATGTCGATGCTTGGCGCACAGTCAGCCCTCATGGTCCTTGTTATTCTAGTGCCAGTGTGACCAGGTTGACAGAACTGAAAAGGAGAGTTTGGGACTCAAATGTGTCTTCCTGCGCCTCCCAGCGCCATTTCCCTGAGTTCCCTATTCCTGCTGACCACTTCCTCACCTGCAGGAGGCAATATGTGGTGGTTGTCCCCAAAGTCCTGGCTTGGCCTGGCTGCTCTGCGTGGGTAAAGATGATTAATTCTGTGTGGTTATGGTTGAGAAGGGGGCTGCAGTGTTTTCTTAGGGACCGTGTGGACCCCTGGGCTTGTAGCTTGTCAGCCTGGCAAAAGGACCTTCCACTCCCTCACCCCCACTGTGGGCTGTGGGCATACTGAGGGGCAGCCTAGGAGCTGGATGGGCCACCCTGGCTGTTAGCTTCCAGGCAGCATTGGGGGCCAAGGGCATGATGGGAAGACAGCAGGGTCCATGAGATATAAGGGTGAGTCGCAGGGCTTCTCTCCATACACCGCCCCCCCTTGCTTCTAGAAGGAGCTGAGGCTGCCAGTACCGACCTTGGCCCCAGATTTAGAATGTAACCCCTTCCCTCCTTTCCCAAAGTTGCCAAACTTTATCAGACCCTTGACTTTGGGGAGTATTGTTCTATCATAAGAATTTAGCAAAACAAACAAAAACCAAAACCACCCTCGGCTATGTCCCAGCAAAGAAGGCCATGAAGTAGGGGTGAAATGGGGAGCAGTTGAGTCTACTGCGGTTTCAGAACCTGGTTCTTCCCGCTCACACCAGAAAAGGAAATGGGCTCCAGGGACAAGGGGGTGCCTGGCGATGTATGTGGCGGCACCCTGGGCCAGGATCCAGGCCGTGTTCTGTCCAACTTGTCAGCTCAAGGGCCTCGACTGTTGGGAGACTCCATTGTCCAACATAAATGGAGAGAAAGCGTGCTCACTGTGCTGTTAGGAGAGAAAGCATGCCCACTTTGTGCTGTTCTTTGTGAGGGTTGATGTAAACTATCAGCCAGTGACTGGCAGCCCAGTGAAGGAGTCTCGAGCCTGCCTCAGAAGCCCCAACCCCCTCTGTGACCCTTTTTTCTTTTCGATTTTGACCACGAGCAACCAATGAGGTTGTGGTATTACCCCCATTTATAGATTTGTAAACTGAAGCATAAATTTCTAGAAAATAATCCTTTGCAGTATAGAGCCATGATGCTCAACAGAGGTTTTTTGCCCATTACAACTTTCCAAGGGCAAAGAGAAGGCAGTAGAAGCCTCTGTGGCTCAGTCTCAAGGACCCTTGTTAGTGGCCAAGTCACAGTTTAGAGACCTGAAGGGCTGGGGGCATTGTCTGCTGGACCCTCAGACCCCGACAATGCTCCAAGAATCAGCACAGCCCTTCTTGAAGGGGAGCAGCAAGCAAGACAGGAGAGGTCTGCTGCTCCAGGGTCAGCTCCCTGGCGGGGGATGAACTCCTGCTGCAGTGGCTGGCGATAGTTTGATAGTGCTGAGTCTTAATCCCTTTGCCACCAGGGAGGCCTGATTTGATCACTTAAAAAAAAAATCTGTGTAATTTATAATGACTGAAATGTAAGCCCCACAAGACAGGAGTTTGTGTCTGCTTTATTCACTGATAAATCCCTAGTATCTGACACACAGTAGGACCTCACGTATTTGTTGAATGTTAGTGGGACCCTAGTAGCATGTCATATTCTTTGAAGATCATGAAGATGGCAGAGATAGGGTTCCTGCCACCCCGATTGACAGGTGAGGAACAGCAGGTGCTGCAGGAGGAAGCCCACAGGGTGTGGATGCAGCAGCTCGTGGCTGGTGGGTCTCCTGGAAGGGTTAGTGGGCACCTACACTGAGCTCTGTTACCTGAGACAGCTCCACCTTCCCAGGGCAAGTCTCCCCTCCGTCAAACTCTAGCCCCTCCAGCTGCTGTTTCACCCCATTTCCTCTTGTTCTGCCTTTGATGGATCCTGGGGAGTAACCACATTAACCACCCTCTAGCTAGTGCCTCAGCTCTGCCACCCCCCAGCAGGCTGCCCTGCAGCACGGCGGGGGTCAGCTGGGGACACCTGGCCCTCTGAGCAGGGTGAGTTTGTCCCCCCAGTGTCCCTGGTGCCTGCGGGAAAGTAAATACTGAGAAGGTGCTCAGTAAATCAGAGGGGTAGAGGGATGAAGCTGAGGATTAAAGATGCTGGAGAAGCCCTTTAGTTACCTAGCTCTGTCTCCCCTTGACAGCAAGTCATTAAACAAATTTCTTTGTATTTTTAAATTTATTATTTTTTTAAGATTTATTTTATTTGTGCATACAACAATTGGGGTATAGCCTCCCTGGTGCTGCAAGGGGTTAAGCACAACGCTGTGAAGATATCTGCAGACTCTGCAACATGAGTTCGATCCCTGGCCAGGGAGCTACCCACATGGCACAGCAGACCTCTCCTGTCTCCCCGCTGCTCCCCTCAGCAGTATATTTTCAGTCAGTTTGCCTGTTCTGTTCCCCACTCTGTCTCTGGTGAATCTTCTCATCCCCCACACCTCTGGCCTATAACCCAGTCCTTGTATGCATAAATAAATATATCTAAAAAAAAGAATTGGGGTGTAGGTCAGAGGTGTGGGGTGTGAGTAGATTCACCAGAGATAGAGTGGGGACCAGAACAGGTGGATCTACTGAAATACACAGCTGAGGGGAGCAGTGAGCGAGACAGGAGAGGTCTGCTGCGCCATGTGGGTAGCTCCCTGGCCAGGGATCAAGCTCATGCTGCAGTGTCTGGTGATAGCTTGATAGTGCTGAGACTTAACCTCTGCACCACCAAGGAGGCCTCTTTATTTATTTATATTTACTTATTTGTATTTTATGCCACATTCACCCAAACAGACACTTTCTAAATTGTACTCAATATAGTACAATATAGTTGAGGCTAAACAAATAAGAAAAGGAGAAAAGAAAATGAAAATGGGTAAGTGAGGATTGTATCCCCCCAAAGCTTTTGTCCCATAGAGGTGGGTAGAGCTGACACCCCTACATTTACAGTTCTGCTGTTGTCCAGGCGCTTACCTGGCTGCTTGTATAATGAGCCGTGAGGGGGTGACCCTGGGCTGCGGCCCTAGCAAAAGCATCAGGGCTGCCCCATACTCCTGGGGACCATGGGGAAAGGGTCACGATTCTCATGGGGCCCGAGCTCTCTTGGTTTTCATCACATGGCCACATGGCCCTGCCTAGGCGTGTTAGAGGAACAGTCATGTGATGGGTGCCCCGGGGCATTCCTGAATCACATCTTGGGGCCAGAGGTCCTCCTAAGGGACATTGCTGTTTCTCAAACTTTCTGGAATTATAGACCAAAAAAGTCTCCTGTTCCAAACCATTGACTATAGAGCTACCTATAGAATAAAAGCAAAGGGGGATATAATTTCTTTAGATATTGTGGTTGCACGGAGATAACATTTGTTATGATAGGAGAATGTATGGCACTATTATTTCCCCAATCCGCATTTGACATTGTTTTCATAGGCTCTAGACTAGCATCCCATGAACTCTGGAGCTTAAGCCTCCAATCCCAGAGTTTGCTTCTTCCCAGAAAGGACTTCAGTAACCATGTCAGAATCATGTGCCTTTCTTTTTAATTTTTAAGATTTTAATTTTTTATATTTATGTTCTTACACTGTTAATTTTTGTACAATATTTGCTTTCTGCCCTCGAGTGAAGTCCGGGTAGTTCTCCCACCACCACAGCCCCTGTTCAGGCCCCTCCTGCCCTGCCTCCTGTGTGCCTCAGACCTATGGTCCCCTTGCAAGTTTTGGCTTTTTCTTGACCCTTTTTTTAGTTTCTCTGTGTTCCACATATAAGTGAAACCATCTGCTATTTATCTTTTCCCTCTGACTTACCTTGCTTAGCATAATCCCACCCAGTTCCATCCATGTTGCTGCAAATGGCACGAGTTTATCTTTTTCTACTGCTGAGTAGTGTTCCATTGTGTATATATCCCACAACTTCTTGGTTTTGGGGCATTTAGGTTGAGAAGCACGTACCTTTCCTCTTGGTCTGTCCTCAGTGATCCTGAAGAGTGGCAAGTGATGTCCGCATCAGAGTGTCCCGGAGTGACTTACAGCAGGAGGCTTGACGGTGACAATCAGGAAGGTACAGCTTCAAAGCCTTCAATTTTCTAATCTAGTATCTATGTCTTTTATTTTTTCTAAAAGACGACTTCCGGATTATTTAAGCTTTGAGTTTCACAGACCCGAAATCCACTGCTGCTTGCGTTCCGATGTTTCAGCTACATGGCAGAGATTCCTGACCTTCTACGCTGTTGCTGGTGCGTGGCTGCCCAGTCAGGGCCTACAGTTCCCTAATCAAAGGAATGCGGCAGAAGGGATACTCCCACTGTTCCCAGGCCTGACCTGTTAAACTTCCCTCACAGCCCTGTGGGGTGACCCTAACACAAGGCCTCAGCAGCAGGAAGGGCTGTGCAGAATAGCCCCCCACCTCCCCAGCTGCCTCCTCCACACCACACACATTCTTTTCATGAGTGAGAAGTAAACTGTTAAGTTGTTGAGATCTGAGGGTTTATTTGTTACAGAAGCTGGTGTTAACCAACATACCACACTAAAAAGCAGACTCTCAAGTTCTAATAATCTCTAATTAATCCAACATTCTAAGCAGCTTTTGGGAAATCTGAAAAAAAAAAAAAATATTAGGTATTTTCCTTTCTGAGAGAAGGTGCTGACTCTGTCATCAAACAGACTGTGAGTGGCAGGGCTGTCAGGTGCAGGCCGTGGGAGTGAGGGTGCTTTGGCTGGAAGGGTGGATTTTGTGTGGCTTTATTCACTCATAAAATGGGCGGCAGAAGAGAGTTAGTGTGTTTTATGAAACAATAAAAAAGGAGGGAGGAAAAATACAGCAAAAATAACCATCAAATAAACAGCACAGACTGGATCAGCAAACCCAGGGTTCTGCAGGCCAGGAGTGAGGGGGAGACATGGACACAGTCACATTTCCCCCGCCCTCCTCTCCGTGAAGTCGAGATTTCACACAGTTTCAGTGTCTTCAGTGTCTAGCAATAAACATGGGGTCACATTTCTCTCCTGCTTAACAAGCTACAGCTCCTGTGGCACCTGTTCTTCCTGATATGTCTCCTGCTCCTTCCCAGGTTCTGCATGGAAGGCTCCACATGCTTTTCTTTCTTTGGGTGCAGAGTGAAGTGCCAGATGTGTGGACAAGGAGAGATGGCAACTGTGCCTAGAATCCAGCCATGCCTCACTGCTGAGGCACCCCCGGAAAACTGTGAAAGCCACTTGTTGGGCTTGTGCTTAGGGAGACACCAAATTAGGGAGCACATAGAGGTGGGTGCAGTCTGATTTTAGAGAAGCCTCGAAGTCATTCTGGGAGACAAAGTACGTCGAGCCTGAAGACAGGACTTGAACAAGCAGCATAGTCAGTGATCAAATTGCCTGAGAAACTCAGGTTCACTCAACAAGACGATGACTTTGCAGAGCACCTATCTTGGGTGGTGAGGGAAATTGAGGTCAACTCTGGTGCAGACAGGCCACTTATTTTATATGTTCACTGGACTGGTGGATTTGAATTTCCAGTAGTGTTGGTATATCTGGATTCCATCAAGGCATCTGAGAAAGTATTAGGTGATCAATTTATGGGTCTATTGCTAAAATACAGTTGTCTATTGTTTCTTGCAGGGGAAAGGATTATAGTTGATATCTGATGTAGTAAGGCCTCAAACCACCATGTTTAATGTTATAGCAACATTGGCAAAGATATAGAAGTCAAGTTTATCAAAAGCTGTATCCTTTGCCCCAAATATCTAGACATGGATGAGCAAGTCATAACTTTAATTTAAAAAATCTCAGTATTCAGGGGCCTCCCCTGGTGGTGCAGGCAGTTGAGCGCTGCGCTGTGAAGCTGTCTGCAGCCTCTGCAGCACTGGTTCTATCCCGGCCGGCCGGCGAGGGTCACACATGGTGCAGCAGACCTCTCCTGTCTCGCCTGCTGCTCCCTCAGCAGTGTATTTCATCAGTCTGCCTGTTCTGTTCCCCGCTCTGTCTCTGGTGAATCCTCTCACCCTCCTGTGCATCTGGCCTGTACCCTAGTTCTTATATAAATAAATAAATAAATCTTAAAAAAAAAAAAAAAAACCAGTATTCAGCATAGAATGAGAATGAAGTGACTTGATCAGAGTTGAATAAAAAATCTTGGGATTTTGGTGACCGCGGGTATAAGTTTCCTACATCTGCTGTAAAATTCTACCAGAATTTAGGAGATGGTTTAAACCAACAGAAATGTATTCTTGCACAATAGTTGTGCTTAGAAGTCTAGAATCAAGGTGTTGGAAGGGCCGTTCTTACTCTGAAATCTAGGGAAGAATCCTCCTTGCCTCTTTGTTTCTGCTCACAGTATTTGTGTTCCTTGGTCTGGGCAGCACAGCTTTGACTCTGTCTGTGTCCTCACCAGCACCTTCAGCCCAGTCGTGGGTTTGGGCCCACTCTACCCAGCACGACCTCATCTTTACTTGATTACAACTGCAAAGACTATTTCCAATTAATATATTTTATTTGGAATAACTCACAGGTGCTGGGGAGCTGGTACTTGAACATGTCTTTTTGGGGGTACAAAATTAAACCCCACAACACCCAGTATGGCCAACAATGTGGCGTGGTTGCTGCTCGAGTTGCCGACTTTGACTAGGCTGAATCACAAGAGATCCACCTGCAGCAGGAAGGGAGTAGGTCTAGGCTGCTGGCAGCACACCTGGTGAGCCCTGGCAGGACGTAGCTCCTCCCGCTCCCCTCTGTGTCCATGCTCCAGACCCAGCTTTTCCTTTTGTCTTCTAGACTGTTGATTCCTGACTTCATTGCTGTTCTTCTTCCCCCACTCACGCATTAAATGGTTGTATTCCTTAGTGCTTTCAGGCAGATCCTCTCTTTCTATGTATTTTTTCTATGTTGATATCCTCTTATGAAATTTCATTTATATACCATTTACATACAGATGATTCTAGAATCTTTTGGAGATGTCTCCTGAAACCCAACTAGATTTCAGTATCTTATCTGAGTATCTCCCAAATCAGCCTCTTTGTCTCCTTCCTCTTTTAGAAACTGCGCCTCATCCAGAGTTTCCAGGCTCAGGTGTCTAAGGTCAGTGCCCATTTGTCCAAGACACCCCTGATGTTGCCCTTCTCCTCACTCTCAACATCTAATTGTCATCCAGTCTGCATTATTGCAGAAATATGTCTATATAATTTCCCTTTTATTTCCACTTCTGCTACCTTGGTTCAAGCCACTGTCTATATATTTATTTATTTATATTTTGCTGGGATAATTATAAGAGGTTTTGAGTAGGTCTCCCAGCCTCTGGCCTTATTCCCCTCTAATCTACTTTCACAGAGCAGCCAAAATGCAATGTGACCATGTTATTTTCCTGCTTCAATGGATTCCCCCCCTCTTTACGATGAGTAAACCCCCCTAACATGGAGACCGTGTGGCCTAATCCCTGCTTACTTCTCAAGCTGCGTTTCTCTCTATTCCCACGATGTGCTCTCACACCCTCCCCTTCTCCTTGCATCTTTATCCCTGCTGTTCCCTCAGCCCAGTACTCTGTTCCTTTCTCTCTTTGCCTAATTAACTGATACTCATATTTCAGGTATCAGTTTCAAATCCTTTCTGGTAGGGACGGCTTTTCTGAACCATAGTTTGCCCCCCCCCCTTTTAGTAACTGTCCTGCCATGTTGCACAACTTCCAGGAGTGAAATCTGTATTGTATATGAATGGCACCCTGAAGTTGTGCAATGCAGTGACCAGGCATACTTTGTTCCTCACTGTCATTATTTGCTCCAGGACTGTAAACTCCACATCTGGCTCTGCTGTGAGCTTGGCATATATGAGAATTCAGTCAATATATGTTGAATTAATAACATGCCTCTCTTATGAATGCATACCTGAAAAATTGCAGGGGTGAAAAATATTATGGAGACCACATCTTATCTGCCATTGCTATTTGTTGAGTTAGCACATGGAAGTGTTTACTTTATTCTATTCCAGAAAGTGTAAGTAAAATAACAGAAGGCAAGTTACAGGGAAACAAATTTGGCTTGACAATGAATTGAAGGGCTTTCCAATAATGAGTTCTACTTCATTATATACACTAAAGTAGAAGCTGGAGGATGACTGGGTGGCAATCAGACAAGAAGGCCTTGGAGAGTCTAACTCAAGTTGTCTGAGTTTTTTTTTTTTTTTTTTTTTTTAAAGATTTATTTATTTATTTATACAAGCACTGGGTATAGTCAGAAGCGCAGGAGGGTGAGAGAATTCACCAGAGCCAGAGCGAGTTGCAGAACAGGCAGAGTGACGAAGAACACTGCTGAGGGGAGCAGCGGACAGCAGGAGAGGTCTGCGTGCCATGTGGGACCCTCGCCCGGTGGCTGGGGATCGAGCTGGCACTGCAGAGGCTGTGGACAGCTTTGCAACCCAGCGCTCAACTGCTGCGCCACCGGGGAAGCCCTGTCTGAGTTTTTATGAGTGTAGGGAAAGTTCTCTTTTTATTTGAGCTCAAGCATTTATTTAATGCTGTCTCAGTGCTTGACACTATTGGCTATAGAATGGCAAGAGTCAGCCATGTCCTCAAAGGTGCAGTCAGGTATCAGGGACAATCCAGACTCATAGGAAACAATTAGAAAGTGGAAACTTTCAGATTATCATCCATTGTCTAAGTGAGTGGAGATGAGTGTAGTTTTCCAGATTCCTGGTGCGGTGGAAGACACCTGTGGATGGGTAAGAGCATTATCCTTCTGAGGGGAGAGTCCACTTGAGGAGAAAGGGGGCAAGATTCTACAGTCCTGTGAGAGAAGGGCATGTGGACAGATATATTAGCAGGTATTCCTCACACCTTCATTCACAGCGCCAGAGTCTGCAGAAGTCCAAATTCCTTACAGGAAACCAGTGAGGAAGATGGGACAAGGGTTGGCCTGGGATTTTGCTGAAACTCAAGGAATGAACTGACTTGTCCTGTACTCACGTGTTTGGGGTTCATTAGGTGACTCAGAGGTGAGTCATCTGCTTATAGGGAGGAAGGGAGTAGGGGAAGCCCCAAGAGTAAAGCTGTCCAACTGTTTCTAGTCTGCAAGTTCTCTGTATTTTTTGTACATACTTTTGGCTGCAAGAAACCTAAAACCCAATTAACAGTGACGTAGTGAAAAGGAAAATTATCTCACATGTTGAAATGCCTGAAATGGTTCTCATCTGTGATTGGTTAATTCGTGGATTTAACTTAGTCATCGAGAGCCCACTTTTTTCCATTATTCTCTTTGCTGTTTTCTGCTGGTTGATTCATCCTCTTCAGCTGACTCTCCTCACAGTCTCAGGAAGGCTTTACAATTCCAGACTTCAAATGTGAACAACAACTAGAGCAGAACAAAAGCCGAATCTCTTCACTTTTCAGAGAGAAAAATACTTCCTAGCTACTCGTTCAGTTTACCTCACCTAATGTCTTAATAACCAGACGTTATATAACAAACCCATTCTTAAGTCAGTCACAGGACATGGGAAATGGAATTACTGTGGGGCAAGCCCAGTTCCCTTTGAATCACATGGAAGCCTGATACCTGAACAATATCAGGGTTATTTTATTTTTCCTGAATAAAGCACATTTAAAAATAATTGATGTAATGTTGGCTTTCAATACTCTGTTTCAGACACATAGCTTCATATCCCAACAGCTGCCTATGCCACATCATATCTACCAAGAAATGTCTAGTTACCATCCTCTACCTCCAATTGACCCCCGTCTCTGTTCCATCCTCTCACACCCTTTTCCCCTCTTGTAACCACCCTTCTGTTGTCCGAATATAAGGATTTACTTTTGTTTGTTCCTTTTCTTTATTTATTTTCATGTGTGACTAGAGTCCTATGGTATTTGTCTCTCTTCATCTGACTTATTCACTTAGCATAATTCCCACAAGATCCATCCACATTGTGGCAGATAGTTAGGTTTCATCTTCTTTTATAGCTGACTAGTATTTCATTGTTTATCATCTTTATCCTGGCAGCCTTCAGTGGCACTTAGGCTGTTTCTGTTCTTGGCTATTGTAAATCATGTTGCAATGAACATAGGGATGCAGGTATCTTTTCAAATTAGTCTTTTCATATTCTTCAGATACATACCCAAAAGAGGTGTTGCTAGAGTATATGGTAGTTCTATTTGTAATTTTTTGATGAACCTCCCATCCTGGATGAACCAGTTTACATTCCCACTAACAGTTTTTGAGGGCTCCCTTTTCTCCATATCTTTGCCAACACTCACCATTTTCTTGTTTGTTTGTTTTATTATAGCCATTCTCAAGTGTGGGAAGTGAAATCTCTTTGTGGTTTTGATTTGCATTTCCTTAATGATAAGTGATGAAGAGCATCTTGTCATGTGCTTGTTACCATCTGTATGTCTTCTTTAGTAAAATGTGTATTTAGATACCCTGCCCATCTTTTTTTTTTTTTTTAAGGTTTTATTTATTTATTTATACAAGCACTGGGTACAGTCAGAAGCGCGGGAGGGTGAGAGAATTCACCAGAGCGGGGAGCAGAGCAGGCAGAAGGACCGAAGTACACTGCTGAGGGGAGCAGCGGGCGGCAGGAGAGGTCTGCGCGCCATGTGGGACCCTCCTCCAGTGGCCGGGGAGCAGCCGGGGATCGAACTGGTGCTGCAGAGGCTGAAGAGGCTGCGGGCAGCTTCGCAACCCAGCGCTCAACTGCTGCGCCACCGGGGCGGCCCCCTGCCCATCTTTTTTAATGAGGTTTTTTTTTGTTTGTGTTTTTGGATATTATATGGTTTGTAAATATCTTCTTCCATTCAGAAGGTTGCCATTTCATTTTAATAATGGTTTCTTTTGCTGTGCAAAAGCTTTTCAGTTTGAAAGAGTCCCATTTGTTTATTTTTGCTTTTATTTCTCTTGCCTTGTAAATGAAGCCACAAAGATGGCACTAAGGTTGATATTGAAGAATTTGTCACCTATGCTTTCATCTATGTATGGTTTCAAGTATTATATTGAAGTCTTTAATCCATTTTGATTGATTTAACTAAATTCATTTTTTTGTATATGATGTAAGATGCTGATCTAGTTTCATTGTTTTACATATCTTTACCCAGTTTTCCCAGCGCCATTTATTGAAGAGATTTTCTTTGTTCCAGTGTATACTTTTGGTTCCTTTGTCATAAGTTGTTATCTGTACATGTGTGGGTTTATTTCTGGGTTCTCAACTCTATTCCATGGATTTGAATGTCTGCTTTTGTTCCAATACCATACTGTTTTGATTACTGTAGTTTTGTAGTATAATTTGAAGCCAGGGAGCATGATACCTCATTTTTATTCTTTTATTCTCAGTATTGTTTTTGCTATTTGAGGCCCTTTGTAGTTCAAATTTGTAGTCCATAAAAATTTTAAAATTTTTGATTTTATTTCTGTGAAGAATACCATGGCAGGTCTGTTCTTCCTATCAGAAACAGAATATAAAATTGCCATGATAAACAAATTCAAAGACATGGAAGAAAAACAATTGATTCAAAGAAATGGAAGAAAAACAATGGAAACAAAATCAATTAACAGAATTTAAAATTTGGAGACTCAGGATGTAAAAAGAAAAATAGAAGAGATGGAAAATTCAGGAGAAAGCTATGGCAGTAGAATAGACCAAATGGAAGAATGAATCAGTGAGCTTGAAGATGTGAATAAAAAATGAATCCAGATCTGTATTATAATGGGGGGGGGTTTCTTGCAGGCTATTTTTCTATCCTTTTAGTATGTAGGAGAGATACTGAGCACAATATATGAGAAATATATATAATTGCCATAGTGCACTCACCACAATATATAATATATGAGAAAAGACTCAGGAAACAATGAATATGCATGCCAAGGAAAGAGCTGTGTTTGGAGATTTGCTGGAGGTTCCCAGTAGGATGTATCATTAGATTATGACTCACCTTGGGAAAAAATACAAGCTTCTTGATTTAAGTGACTCTATGTGTGGTTAATGCTTGGACATTTGTTAGTTTTCTTACATAAAAATGATTCAAGTGGTAAGATATATAGGTCCTTTTACTTATTAGGAAATTCCAAGAATTGTAAGGAATTTTCTCAAGAAAATTGAGT